AGCTCTGGGGCCGCGCTTGGCGCGCGGCGTCGTGGAGGGCTCACGACGGCGGGACCCGTCGCGTGACGTTTGCGCTTGAGGAGCGGAGCCACCGATGGCATGACGTCGTGCGACACGATCTCCATGCGCCGGCCCAGGTCCAAGCGCGGCCACGACCCACCGTGCTTGGCTGTATCCGCGGCGTCTTCCTTCTGCACCCAGTTCTGAAAGGCGACGCTCGTCGTGTCGAGAGCCACGTCTGCAAAGGGCTCGGCATCGAGGCACTTGACTACGTCCCGCTTGCGCTTGGACAACGTCGGCGACTTGCCCGCGTGCACGGACCGGCGCTTCATGTGGCGCGAAAAGCCGGCTCAAGATATGACGGTTTCGCCCGCGACTTTGCCGTTGGCATTCCTCCACCAGGCGCCGCTGGGGATGCCAAGAACGATGCGAGCGGGCTGGCGCGGAGTCGCATGCAACAATCGCAATGACGGGTGGCAAGCGAGACGGGCGGACTTGCGCTGCTTCAATAGAATCGACCTAGATAGGAAGAAGTTCCCCATGTTTCGACGTCGTTACCGCCACGTCTTTTCTCCATTTTCCATCAAGGATGGTCGACACGGTCAAGACCATCGACTCGCGCGCTTTTTATCTACCTTCTCGTGCCCGCGCCGTTCAGGTTGCTTCTGCTGACGCTGCCAAGCGTGACCTCCTATGGACCGCCGCCAGCGTCGCTCAATGCGACAGCGTGCGACGCGTGTGCGCCGCTCTCGGCGTACTCGCGATCGTTGCTGCCGCCCGATGCGTCACGACGATGGTCGCGTCGGTACTACCATGCGACGGGCTGCCTTCCGACACAACGGCCGCAGCAGTGACTGTGCACGTACGATACGCTTGATGCCGGGTTCCGTCCGCTATGTGCGCTTCTCGGTGCTTTTAATGCTGTCGGATGCCTCTGGAACTGGTATCTTCAGTGCCATTTTTTCCCGAGCCAACACTGGTGCCCGACCTCAAACTACCTCACGTGGTCAGCTCGCTGTAGGTCCATTTGAAGTTGTGGGTGGGTGGTTCTTTCTCGTCCGGTTGCTCGTTGAGATCGATAGACCTTCATGCAGCTTGCTCCCGGCTACTCGCTTCTCTGCCCGGTTGATTGCGCCTTGTCCCAGACCACCCTGAGATCCGAGAAGACGGTTGCTTACTTGCGGATGCGAAGGCGACGCTCCTCGACAAAAGACTCGCACAAGACCAGACCCGTTGCCGCTTAGTCTCACAAGCGGACTTGTACCCGAAAGACTAAAGCGTTTTGAAGCCGCAGCGAGCTCTTACAGGATTTCGCGTCCCGATAATATCGAAGCGCGTCGAATGGTGTCGGGTCGGCGAGTAGCCGACGTTCCTCACGTTGGTGAGTGGTCGCGCGTGGGAATTGCCCGTACGTATATCCCACATGCATGCAATCGATTCTATAGCGAATGCGATTTTTAGCATTTCCCACGCAAGATACCGGTGCGATTCCGTCACGGCGCTGCTTCCGCGACCAGTTGCCAACGCGCTGTCTTCCGCACAGTACACAAGACGATGGACAGCAGCCTCGTGTCGCCCGGTCGCCCGAGTCCAGTGCCGGCGCGCGCCGAAATCCTGCGCTCCGTCGTGCGTCTACCCCCCGGGCAGCTCAAACCGTCCCGAAAGTACATCGTCTTTGTTCTCAAGGTCTCGACGACATGCAATTCGTACCGCATTATCGAGCGCACGTGGTCCGAGTGCCACCGCTTTGAAGATGCGCTACTTAAGGCGCTGCGCCACGACTGCGCCAAGCGCTGCACGGCGCTCTGGGCCGAGCTCGAGCCCAACGTCGAGCGCTCCACTCGGCACGTCGGGTTTCGGAACTGGTGCAAGATTCAGCTGCATCACCACACGCCCGAAACGATTGCAATCTTCCTCGAGCACTATCAAGTGCTTCTCGATGCGATGTTGGCGCTGGTTGCCGCGACGCGCTGCTCTGGCCTTGACAACATTCGCGCGCTCCTATCCGAGTTCTTGTCGCCGCCCACCAAGTGTCCGTAACTTTCAATTGCCATTCGAAGCAACTACTAGTACGTCCTTACTACAAATTCCATGTTTTGTGTGAGGCGAAGCAGTGGCTCTACTGCCCTCCAGGAAATACCGGCAAGAGAGACCCAAGCCACTGGACCCACGCTCGGGCTTTTCATTTGGCGCCTGCATACCACGTGCTGGTATGACGTGGCACCACTCGAAAGCCGGCAACGAGCCGGCTACTCTAACCGGCGACATTAACCGGCTTCTATTTTGGTAACCGGCTATGTAGCCGGCAACAAACATCCAACCGTGTCGTCGCCATCTGCACGATTACGCAAAGTGATGTCGAGAGAATCGGTTGCGCCTGCCATGCCAGCAGCGGACCTGGTCGCGTCGTATGCGTCGACGTGCGTCTCGACGACGTGCGAGCACCGACTGCCGGCGTCGCGTGCCGAGATCCTTCGCGCCGACGTCCGCCTGCCCATCGGCGTCGTCAAGCCGACAAAAGATCATGTGGTCTTTGTACTGCGCGTCCACGACGACGGCGACTGCTACGGCGTCGAACAGACGTGGTCGGCGTTCATCGCCTTGCGAAACGAGCTCCTCATCGCGCTCGCGCCTGGCCACCCGTGCCAAGGCGTCTGTCCGTGGCTCTGGGAAGACCTCCGACACAACTTTGACTTTCCGACGCACAAGAAGGTCGGGTTCCTCGAGTGGTGGAACATTCGCCTCCAGCGCCACACGCCGGCGACGATCGAGATCTTTCGAAGCCACTTTCAGCAGCTTCTGGATTCCCTCGTGACGCTGCTGTGCCAAACGCGCATCCACTGCGAGCGCTTCCAAGGTGTCTACGCCGTTGTCGCGCGTTTCTTGACCGCCGACCCCATAGAAGCCATGCAGTGTGTGAGTTAATCAAGCGACGTGTGATTAGTATTTCAAATTCTATCTTATAGTTAGTGTGCCGGCATGGCCCAAGAAACGAGCACACGTCGTTGAGCAAGACCTATTATGAGTCGAGCATCGTGGCGTGCGCCGTCGACTTCGCCGTGATTTTGAAACGTCATCCGGAATTCGACCTGTCGATATCCGGATACTGTCCTCGCGTGCTGGTGCTTTTGAAATGGGCTACAGCGGCAATGCGATCTTGGCACCGCGATCCGAGTCTTTCTGCAACCAACGCGTATATATGCGTAAATCATTGTGTATCACTGCCCTTCCCAGCAACCGACAACCTCCAGCGCTTTGGGTTTTGGGACGAATCAGATGTCCAATATGAGTGACGGTCTCTTGAAGGTAAGAGTGGTGGTACCACGGCCTGTCAGCGTACGCATCGGATCCCATTTCCAAAGATTGATCATGACTGCCAAACGCAAAGCTCAAGCCACTGCGCTCGTGGAGGCGCCGCCCGCCAAGCGCTCGACGCGCAGCAGCACAGCCAGTGCCTCGACGGCCCCTGCACCCGTGGCCGACACCAAGCCGACACCCAAGGCCAAGACGGTCAAGTCGACGACCAAAGCCGCGGCCAAGACATCGACGAAGGCGACGCTCGAAACCAAGAAGCCACATTGACGCCTGCCGCCATCAAGGAAGAGGAGGAAGACTTTCAGCGTAAGCTCGACGACCACTACAGCAAGCGCTACGGCAGCGGTGCCGTCGTCGTCGGCGCCATGACGTCATGCTCAACCAGGTCGAG